TCATGGAATGAGTCGATAGTCGTCCCTATCTTTAAAAAGGGTTCACGTTGTTCCTGTAACAACTATCGGGGGATAAGTCTACTTCCGATTTCGTCCAAACTATTGGCTTGTCATTCTTCGTAGGTTGTTTAAAACCCGAGAACGATTGACTCGCGAGGAGCAGGCTGGTTTTCGTTCTGGTCGAGGATGCATTGATCATATCTTCACCCTCCGCCAAATGTTAGAGCACCACCATACTTATCGCAGGCCAACAATCGTAGTGTTTCTTGATGTCAGGGCTGCCTTCGATTCGTTGGACAGGACTGTTCTCTGGGATTGTCTATTGAAGAAGGTTGTGTCTGAGAAGTTCATTAACATCTTAAAGGCCCCGTATACAAACACCTAAGGCAGAGTGAGGGCATACAACCACCTTTCTCCCTTGTTCCATTCAAGCAGTGGGGTTAGGCAGGGTTGCCCAATCTCACCATTCCTCTTCAACTTTGTCAACGACGACATCCTAGAAACAGCTCTGATGGATGTAAGTAATGGCGGTGTGGATCTGCTGCCTGGAGAACGACTTCTCGACCTTGAGTATGCGGATGATATTGTCTTACTGTGCGATAATGCCCATGGCACGCAACCTGCACTTAATCAGTTGGCAATCAGTGTCCGCAGGTACGGCATGTGCTTTGCACCCTCCAAGTGCAAGGTACTCCTACAACACTGGCAGGATTCTCATCCTGTACTCACCCTAGATGATGAGCAGATTGAATTAGTTGAGAAGTTCGTGTATCTAGGTAGCTATATAAGTGCTGGTGGTGGCGTGAGTGATGAGATTGATGAACGTATAATGAAAGCCAGAGCGGCTTATGTCAATCTGGGCCATCTTTGGCGCCTTCGTGATGTTAGTCTGGCTGTAAAAGGTCGGATCTACAACGCGTCGGTGAGAGCAGTTTTGCTCTATGCTTGTGAAACCTGGCCTCTTCGAGTTGAGGATCTTAAAAGACTCTCTGTGTTCGACCATCGTTGTCTCCAAAGGATTACTGACGTCCAGTGGCAACACCATGTTAGTAATCCAGAGGTTCGGCATCGTGTGTTCGGGCGCAGAGACGATAATTCAATTGGTGTCACCATCTTGAAACATCGACTTCGGTGGCTTGGACATGTTCTGCGAATGTCGTCACAGAGAATTCCACGTCGTCCATTATTTGCCGACGCTGGGACTGTTTGGAAAAAGCGGAGAGGAGGTCAGTATATGACATGGTGTCGTGGCGTGAAAGAAAGCTGCAAAGGGCTAGCTTCTGTTGGTCCTTCACGACTCCCTGGCTGTGGTATGAGAGATGGTGCAACACAGTGGCTGGAGACGTTATCAGATATGGCTCAGAATAGAAGCCAGTGGCGATCCTACTGCAACCTTCTTTTACTTTCTTCATAAAGAGTGGTTCTAACTTTCTTAACTGAGAGAGTTCTTCTGGTTGTACATTTCATTCCCTCTTTTTTCCTTTATATATACGCATCTTCCCCCTTTCTTTTCCCATTCGCATTGTTTTGTGTGGCGCATATATATCTGGTGCTCTCTTGTACCAATATGTATGTGTTTAAATAAAAATAAATAAATTTCAGTATTCACTTAAGTGATGTATAATAAATACTATTTTGCATTTGAGCTGAAAGGTTGCCAACTATCAACTCACAAAGGTTAATTTAACATTTGTAAGTGAAGCGATTAATGTAGTCAAACAAATTTCTTGATATGATAAGCCAAGATGACACTATTTTTCACAAGAGCAGGAAGTGTGTCATAAACATTCAAAATTTGTTATTGAAAGTTCGCGATATAACAGATGATTTAAAATACTTTTCTCTCTCTTTCTGCTGTATACTATGCTTATACAATATGATAATAATACTGGTCTGGATGATCGAGTTCATTGTACCGCTAGATTGGATACTCGAATGGTACACAGTACAGAGGCTAAAGCAGTCTGTATTAAATACACAATTTACGACCAAGAATAGTAAACTTGAGTAACGCTAGACAAAACTTTATTCCGCATAATTACAAGCAGTCAGAGTTTGGAGAAATCAGTCGAGGGAAAGAAAATCACATATTTAATAGCCAGTAAGTTGGGTAGTTGTTTGTTCACACTCAATGACCAATCACACTTACATTCAGTTTTTCTTAAAAACTCAACCCCATATTATTTACTGTCTTCGCGTAAGGACATAATGATGTCTGTGTTCCGTTCGTTAATTAATTAACATCCTTAACAAGGAACTAAAAAATAGACCAATGGTTCCAGTTCTAGAGGGTAAATGAGATCTGTCTCGTTCCGATACGGTAAAAGTACACACCAGAGACTTCTAGTAACGATCCAAAATGCACGGTCAAAGTTTAACCTGCTAGGTCTACAGATATTAGGCTTTAAATTGGTTAGGTTGCATTTCTTTACACGAACTATTGTACTGTTTCAAAATCAATAGATTTCAATTAATTCGCCAATGTGTCATGCTTCATTTTATTTTAGATGATCACTTAAAACATAGGAAATAAGCATTGTCTACATCAAACATTGAGAAATGTAAATGTATTTGACTAAAAGGCTTAGAAATAAATGTCTACATTTCTAGAGCGAGTAGCTTCCCGTAGTTCCAAAACGTTTTCTATGGACCACTTCCGAAAAGCTCAAAAAAGCTGCAATTGTTGTTCTGATTGATTTTTAATACCTAACAAGACCACCTAATTAGTACTGAATATTATTCAATTGAGATCAGAACCTGTAGTGTGTGTAACAAGAATAATCCTGACTCATAAACTATCAAAAGAAAAAGGCATTCAAATCATATAAAAACACCAGTAGCATGATTACTAAAAGTGACATTAAAACATTTGTGCAAGCAGCAACCACCCCACCAACAAAGGAATATTTTTCTGAAGGTTGATCTTTTACATAACTAATAAGTGTATGCATGAATAAATATATGTATAAGTAATGAATAGAAAACAATTCGTTTGTTCCAACTAGTCTTATCTAATATAAAGGAAGTACTTCAACCCTGTCGATATACTTTAATTTTATTAAATCCAGTAGATGAAGTTTCTAGTTGACAGCGAAAGGAGGTATTTAGCGACTACTCGTTCCAAATGAATGTACCGGTAAAGTCACTTGATTAAAACTCTTGGCAAGCATATTGTTAGGCATGAACCTTAAATTTTAACTAGTGGGGACCTTTGTCAGTAATCCATCGTTAGAACTGACGTAAGTAAATAAAACCATGTGGCACGTCCCCGTTTCTCTTGATTTAGATAACACTTTCTTATACGAAGCTTTTCATTTGGATGCAAACATGGTGGGCGTTTGTCAGATTACGTGTTTGAAATGAATGTGACGTGGACCATGACCGACTGTTCGCTTTAACTTCAGCTGATAGATATCATTGACAAGAATCCTTAGTACATTACTGAATGATCTTGCTAGTTGATATCAGGATTATAGGGGGAAATCCCAGATGATTTGAAAATGTTTCGCTGAAGATTAAATAGTAGGCACCGCTTACCAATCAACCTAAACCGAGACTATTTTGACCTCGAAAACAACACGAAGAGGAGTCGTATAATCACTCTGCACAGCCACCTATTCACGACGAGATGATTTACTGATAGATTATGTGGTTAGCTGGTTTATTCGAGGTGAAAATTTGAGGAATAAATTTTACATAATGATCAATTTTAAATCAGTAAACGAATGAACAGTGAATACGTCACTGTATGGTGTGTTCTTCAAATACCATTATGGTTGATCATGACACTTAGTTATAACAATAGAATGGTTGTTACATTTCACTAGCAGATGAAAGTGTCTGGGAAACTTACTACTTTCTCAAACTTTAAATTGCTGACCAATATTTGTCCGTTTTATTTGATAATTGACTGAATAATAGTAATGTTTCTGAAGGAAACGTCTGGTTTTGCTTGGAAATTTTCGGCCTTGAAAATCTAAACAAATCGAACAGCTTGGTAATAAGAAACTCAGTTAGAATGGGTATGTATACTTCACAAAATCAATTGGCCAGGCAAAAATTTAGTCAAAATTTAACGGTCAATTATGACCGTAAACACTGAGAATTTAAATAGAAAACTTACATAGTATTATATTATCTTACCATAAATGTAGTTGGATGCAGGGAATATTTAGTTTAATGCTCAGTCTATTAGCATATTCGCCTTAAGTTATAAGCGACACGAGGTAAATCTATCTTAGAAAATACGCAACTAAGAACAATGTTTCGACAACAAAACTGACAGAAAAACCAAGCAGTTACAAGAAGAGCGTCAAAAATTGTTTATTTAACGGCTAGTCATGTTATGTATTGAAAGCAATTGCGAAGAGGACAATGGGGCGAACTGTAAACACTTTCTTGTTTGGTGGAAGTACCAAACGATAAGTAAGAAATGATGATTAGAAGCAAACAAGAAAATAAAACAAGTGAGGAAGATGAAGAAAATAAAAATCGACTAAACAAAGGACTATTTAGAACCTGGAAGATGGCATTTATAAAAAACTACATACTACAACAAAATATAATATTATTAAGCAAGAGTAGAGATCATTAAAAAGTATATATTCTGTGAGCTGTGGTTGGCTCCATTATTTGCATTTCTGAAAATTCCACTCCATAATTGCCTCGGGTTAATTAAACAAAAACCTTCAAATAACACAGATATCAACCTATACGTATAGATTGAGTTAAATGTAATTATAAAAAAGCAATGTGAATAAATTCTAGTATGTATGCGATTTTCAAAATACAAAATAAGGGTGAGAAAATCGGTTATCTACCGTAGTTTCATACTGCAATGGTATTTTATTTTATCGTCTTTCACAAAGAAGTGTGTATTTGTACATAATATGAAGAGGGCAGATGCAAACGCATTCTTGTAATATATATATATATATATATATATATATATATATATATATATATATATATATATACTAAAAGCAAAGAAAACAGGTATAAAGAAAAACAGAACATGTAAATGCACATCCTACAATTTACATTAGTAACAATACACAGAAAACAAATGAAATCAGATGATTAGTCTACTTTATCATACTAGTTACCATATGGAAAAGCACAGAGAGGGATGATAAGCCATACAAGGCTACTACTTGTTATAAAGAAACTAAACATCATGATTGATGACTAACTCCACATGTTGTAAAGCGAGGTATAGGTGGAAGAATTAAATGAGACAAATGATTACAATTCTTTACGAGTGTAATATTCGTAAGGGTAATTTAGTGAGTCATATGATATCAAGTAAATTTACAGGCGAGATAATAATAATAATGATAATAATAATGGTAAATATCAATAGAACTGGTGATGGAAGATATATTTTTTCTTGGAAAAGAGGTACACCGATAATGAATATTAACCACAGGACATCAAAACTACAGTAAGCCTAGACCAGAATTAGCGGGTAAGACACTTTGTGCATTTGTATTTATCATACCAGTTTGTAGGCCAGCATTAATCTGAACTGAATTTGGACTAGCAGCTAACCAGTTAGGTTGGGCAGCATAACTCACGGGAGTTGACGAAATATCTGGTGGTGCAGTTACTCCAGACGGTGCACCTCTTGATGCCCATCCACTAGTAGTTGTTGTTGTATCTTGACTGAAAATATACGGTTGTACTGGGTGAGATGATTGTATTGTACGTGTTAACAGCGGAACAGAACCAGGATTTGATGCTACACCAGGTGGTAGAGCGTTCGACTGAACGCCTCGTCTAGCGACGACAAGACCGGAACGCGTACTTGAAACAGTTAGATCGATATTTTTGTTATCACAACAACTACGACGACGAAAAACTCGTGCGAAGAAACGCTTCCATGATACAAGCGTTTTACCACTCCATATCCAGACACCACTTGTTATACCGACAACCAATGTCATAAGATATTTAATCATAAATAATTCAAATTCGGGTTTTTCTAATGCAGGTATTTTTGCAAATATGTTTTGACTAACAGAAATATCAGAATTATCTGATCGGGATGTTGAACTACCGGCTTCAACCAGTCGCTTGAAATGTCCAGGACATATAGAATCGGCTAGTTGATTAGGATCTACTTTACGACATACTTCAGTTGTATACCATGTAAGCATCCATTTTTCAGACATTCTAGATTCATGTAAATAACAAGCGATAACTACTAATGCTGGAACAATGTACAGTAAACTAAATACACCAATTCGCATAATTAATTTCTCTAGGTCATCTGTTTTTGAACCTCCAGTTTTGATGATTGTACGGATTCTAAATAATGATACAAAACCAGCAAACAGGAAACACGTTCCAATCAGAAGATACAAACATAATGGGGCAATTAAAAATGCTCTCAGTATAACTGGATCTGTTAATCCGGTGAAGCATACACCAGATAGTGGATCACCGTCAACTTTTCCCAAAGCTAATATCCCAATTGTTTTAGCAGCTGGAATAGCCCATGCAGCAAAGTGTAAATACTGTGCATTACGTGATATAGCTTCATGTGCCCAATGACATTTAGCAGCTAAATACCAAGTGATTGTCAAAACCACCCACCAAATAGAACTAGCCATCGAAAAGAAGTAAAGCAACATGAATAAAATGATGCATCCTTCAAATTTTGTGCCCTGAGTAACGAGTCGTGGCATTTCAATTTGACCACTAAGAGATTGTGGTGCTGGAAAAGGCCCAGAGCAAGCGACCTGAAAGAGTGGAATAATTACAGGCATAGTTTAAGCAAAAAATCTTTACAGTGATATATTATACTCACGACAATTTTTTTTAAATTTTGATAACAGTTCGCTACACAAATAGTTTTAATCCACTTGGATGATGATTATTGAAGGTCACATTTCGAAAATCTTATATTATCTGCATGATGTCGAACGGTGAAAACCATCAAAAAATTGAAATGTATGTCTTTTAACAAAAACAAAATCTGACAATATAACATTACCTCAGTAAAATACAGCAGTCCTATTATTCTATGAATTAAATAAGTTAAGACTAGTCTTTGTGTTAGTGAGAATTAAGTTTGGAGTTCCATTAGGAAATGCATTAATTCAATGTGCCTTGGTCAACCATAAACAATGTAGAGGCTGATACACATGAGCTTTGGAAGAGAAGAAGAGATAAACGGAAAATTAACAGGTTGAATAACAAATGAGTTGAGACAATAATATCGATGTTAGTAAGAACTAAGCGTAGAGAATATAGATTGATGAGAAAAAATGAAGGGAAAAAGTGTGTAACAATATTAGGCTACAAGACATAAAAGATGAGTTATCTGAGGGTTAAAGATACTGCTCGATAGCATAAACCATTGATTCACATCGCTCCAAAGAGTTTGAGTGACAGTTAGAAAACAATCATAACAGTAAATATGCATATATGAGCAGGAGTATGTATCGGACCCTTATGTTACACTTTACATCACAACAAAATGAAACTAACAACTCGGAAGTAATAAGGAGAATAGAAGTAGCAGTAGACTAACTCCGCCTGTAGCCCTGCTAGAGTTACTGCTGGTCCCCAGTCCAGATAGAAGAGGATTGGGCATGAGGTCGGCTACCCCATCCCTTACAAAACAACCTCGCTAGAGGACGCCAACCAGAAAAAATCAACTAAGTCACTTGAAATCTACCCTGGGAGTTGGAGGACCTTCATTTAGAAGAATTATGACGTCTTATAGTGAAACCCGGGATTCATTGGAATCACAAGGCTGACGTCCCTCCTGAAAATCAGAGCAACAATTAATATAACCACATCAAATCTACGGACAATGTACGAGACTGGGAGGACCAATCAAATAGTTGCTGAAGTGAGGAAATACAACTTGTCGCTTCTTGGAATTAGTGAAACCCATTGAACCCAAGCTGAACATAAAAGATTAGCTTCGGAAGAGGTGCTGTTGTACTCAGGTAATGAAGAAAAAAATGTTTCGCACACACACAAGGTGTTGCACTGATTCTGTCCAAAGAAGCACGAATAGCACTCATAGGATAGGAATCTCGCGAATCCAGGATTATCTAGTGTTATATACCCATTAGCTGTAGCAATAAAGACAACAAATATGAATATCACAAGGGGGTTTTTTGTGGAGATTTAATAATTTTATAGTTAAGATCATGAGTCAATTGAAGCTAGACCACCATGGAAAACCTGGAAGCACTAGACGGCCGTTTCGTCCTATTATGGGACTCCTCAGCAGTGCGCATCCACGATCCCGCTCTCGTGAGATTCGAACCCAGGACCTACCAATCTCGAGCCAGAGCCCTTAACCGATAGACCACTGAGCCGGCATTAAACGGTGTTAATGTCTAACCTCAACCAATCCACGAAATTGCGCAACCAACTTCCAATGTACTGAGGTAGATACCTGTCTCTACCTGACATGGATTAGCTCCACTGGCCACGACTTCTCACTAGAACTCATGATCTTAACTATAAAATTATTAAATCTCCACAAAAAACCCCCTTGTGATAATGATCATATGCTCACTAGTGACTGGCTCCTTGAGGTAATTCCTGGAGTTCTAGTGAGAAGTCGTGGCCAGTGGAGCTAATCCATGTCAGGTAGAGACAGGTATCTACCTCAGTACATTGGAAATTGGTTGCGCAATTTCGTGGATTGGTTGAGGTTAGACATTAACACCGTTGGATGCCGGTTCAGTAGTCTATCGGTTAAGGGCTCTGGCTCGAGATTGGTAGGTCCTGGGTTCGAATCTCACGAGAGCGGGATCGTGGGTGCGCACTGCTGAGGAGTCCCATAATAGGACGAAACGGCCGTCTAGTGCTTCCAGGTTTTCCATGGTGGTCTAGCTTCAATTGACTCATGATCTTAACTATAAAAAAAAATATGAATATTATGAGAAGCTGCAGTCGATCGTAGAGAAGCGCTCATGAAGAGACCAAACCATCCTGATGGGAGACCTAAACTCCCAAGTCGGAATGGACAACACCGGGTATGAAGATATCATGAGACGACATGTACAGGGAGGAAGGAACGAAAATAGTGAGAGATTTGCAAATTTATGGGCATTCAACAAAATGGTTATAGGTGGCACAATATTCCTTCACAAACACATTCATAAAGTTGCATGGGTCTTACCGGATCACACTATAGAGAACCAGATCGAGCACATTTGCATCAATAAAAAATTCAGATCCATGGGGGATGTGAGAACTAAGAGAGGAGCTGAGGTTGTTTCAGATCACTGCCTGGTTGTGACCAAGACGGAACTAAAGCTGAAGAAGACTGGACAACTGGAGAAACGGTACTACAAAAGTTTAAAACAGCCCTCGAGATACCGACAAACTCAATGAATTCGAAATAGATATCAGCAACATGTTCCAAGCCTTACAAGACTCACTCAAGGAAGGAGAAACTACTATAGAGAACAAATGAAAGGGGTTAAAGAAGCAATAGCCTCAACACACCAAGAAGCGTTCGGCCTCAAGAAGAACCATCATAATGAATGGATCTTTATCTACACTCTGGGGAAGATTCAAGAAAGGAAGAACAAGGAGATAGCAATTAATAACAGCAGAAAAAAGTCAATGCACAGGACAGGTACGCAGAAGCAGACAAGAGAGTAAAGAGGAAAGTGGAAATATGAGACAACTAAGAAAGTAAGCAATTTTATATTGACCGAGGTTTTATCCTTTTCCTTTAACTGATTTTTAGAGTTTCTTTATCAGGTAAACACCTGCCATTGATTATTAGCTCTTGGTTAAATTCCATGTTGTAAAATGTTCTTTCGCATAGAATATAAATTTGCAATATTTCATTCAGTCTCTTAAATTTATTTGCATCCTTACTTTACTATACTAAACTGATTTGCTTTGAAAGCAGCTTCAACTAAACTCATTCATGTACGCAATTTCAACCCCGTTTCATAATCCCGATTCTAAATATTTCGGGTTGTAAGCTGCTAATGGAAACCCAGACAAATAAAACGAATTCATGTTATTGAACTCAAATCTTTGTTGTCTCTCGTTCGGTAATTCTTTCTGATCATGTAACGGGGTGTAATGGGATTCATGTAAACTATTTTAAGTTTCCTTTGACACATCGTCTAGGCCTTTCAACTAACGCTTAAACTTTCAGCTACTGAATAACCATTTAACGGTTGACATTTTCAACTTTAGTCAAATCGTAATATTGTAGTGAACGAGAATACAAGTGGGGACGATCGAATGTATTTGAACACAAAATCACAGATTATCTTAATAAAATCTGAGAACCATACAGAACCATACAGCAAAATGTCAATCAATTCCACATCCATACCACATTAGCTCAGAAATGCAGTTGTCGACCTAAAGGTTTGATCCACAAGTCAGTGGAGCAACGTAAGGAGATGCAGTCACGCGGTAGCCGGTGAAAAACCATTGGTTCATACGCTATTTGTTCTCTCAGGATACTGGAGTCCATGTGCACCATTGGTTTGGAATCAGGGTTTTCCAACTTCCCTAGGTGGACTTTCTGTGTCCAGCAACCCGGTTAAAGCGTCGGACATTCGCTTTACGTGCTCTCAATTTCGTAAACAACAGTAATGCCACGAGAATGCAGTGAGTAGGACTTCCCTGTCAGAGGCTATATACGCGTGGCCATGTGAGAGCATTTGGAGAAGGAGAGCGGACTCTCCCCTCTCGGCCGTATCAGGGCAAATCCAATTTCTAATCCCAACATACTAACCTTAAAAGTTCATTTCACTAGAAAACTATCATTTAATTCTTTCGAAGTACGAAATTGAGTGAAAATTGTGAGTTTCAGCTACAAGCTATCCACAGTCGGTCAGTAACAACGTGTAACTTCGTAATTACGTACATTAGTTCGAGTTGCCATACCACATTAGCACAGAGATGCAGTTGTCGATTCAAATCCCATAGTGATAGAAGTAGTAAGAGTATAAGCATTATGTGAAAGATTAAGGTTTGAAGATGTTATTCAAGGAGTATAATCCAGTGAAATAAATTTGGAAAGAGAAAAAAGATAGAGACATGAAGAATTCAGATTAGATTTCGGCAGAACACAAAGAGTGGATGCACCTTCGCCAATGCAAACGATTTCGGGCCATGCCATTCAAAGTCTCTAACCATCGATTGCTATTATCTAGCGAATCCCAACTAGGTAGTCTACACCTGCCAGCGTGACTCAGTCAAATGGTCAGTGACTTCATGGATTTGTGCCACGTTTTGGTCTGGCCGCCCCTAGCTGTCTTCCAACCTACTCCTACACCATAAAACATTGCACGTCTGGTTAGTCGGTGGTTGGGCATGCGTAACACGTGTCCCAGCCATCTCAACTGATGAAGTTTCACTACTTCATCAATCGATTTGCCATCCTTACCTAGTACCCGTTTCCTAACAACTGAATTACTTACCCGGTGGTCCTAGGATATACGAGCAATGCTTCGAAGACCCCTATGATCGAATACTAGTAGCCTTCGAATATCCTCTACCCTTACCGGCCATGTTTCACTGCCATAAAGTAGGACGGAACGAATTGCTGCACAGTAAACCCGTCCCTTGGTTGCTAGACGGATATCTCGCCTACTCCATAAATAACGCAAGTTGGTGAAAGCTAGACAAGCCTTCTGTATCCGTGCTCAGATTTTGTCACACATCAAACCACAAAGGCTGATGAGACTCCCAAGAAAAGTGAAGCGGTCAACACGCTCAACTACTTCACTCCCTATCATTAGTTCAGGTGTTGATGCAACCCAATCTTGAAGTAACATTTTGCATTTTGAGGGGGGAAATCGCACACCGCATAGTTGCTTACAGTGGTCAGAAGACTCTGCATTTTGTCAGTGTTCACCAAATAGAACTATATCATCGGCATATTCTAAGTCAACAAGTGAATCTCCAGGTAAAAGTTCAACTCCTGGAAATTGTTATCACTAAAAGCACGTCAGCGACAAAGTTAAACAAGAATGGAGAGAGTGGACAGCCCTGACGAACACCACTTGAGGTAATCAATTCCCATGACCGTTCGCCATAGGCTCTAATTCGACCAGTTGTGTTCGAGTAGAGAACCTTTATGAGGTTAATGTACTTTTTTGGTACTCCTTTCAGTGACAAACACTGCCATAGAACCTTACGATCAACAGAGCCAAATGTCGCCCTAAGGTCGAGAAATACTACTATTGTGGGACGTCTGAAAGTGTATGTTCTAGGACCTGACGTAGTGTGAATATCTGGTCTATACAACCACGTCCAGGTCGGAAACCAGCCTGGTTTTCTCTAGTCTGTTCTTTATGAGCTTTAGTTAGGCGTCGAAGTATTACTGAAGTTGATATTTTAGACACTATATTAGTCAAACTGATTCCTCTATGGTTGTCACAAGAGGACTTTTGTCCTTTCTAGCACAATCAGTTGTTGAGACCAGCCACATGGGATTACGTCCAGTTCTCAGATTCTACCTAAGACCTCAGTCAATCTCGCTGCTATTACAGGACCGTCATCCTTAAAAATCTCGGGGTAAACCTGTCAGGGCCTGCTGCTCTCCCACGCCTCATATTTCCAATAGCTTGTTTAACCTCGTAGACTTACATTGACTGGGGATCGTGGGAAACCGAAGTGTGGCTGAAGGCCAGTTGAACTGATCCCTAAAATGATCTGCCCGTCGATCCAATCTACTGGATTGAGAATGAATGATTTGGCCATCTTTTTCCAAGATAGTTTCGTTGACAGTCGGGTTTCTAATACCGGTTTCTTTAACAAGTCTGAACAGTCGTCTGCTGTTGCCTATTGCCGCTGCCTTTTCCATCTCTCTTGCTTTCGCTACCCACCACTGTTCGCGATCATTGCGTAGGCTTTTTGTTCGCCAGCGCCTAAGCTGACTTCGCTCTTCGTCATGTTCAGAGCCAGATGGGATGAGTTTTCGAGCATCTATCAGTGTAGTAAATGCTGTTGAGATCCAGTGTCTTCCTAACTTTATGGTTTACCGTACTAACAGATATCACTGCTGTTTCTACAGCTTTTCGGCTGTCATTCCACGCTGCCTCGGGGTGGGCACAACTTACATGGCTGCCTAACTGTTTTTCTAGTTGTTCCTGAAATATATTCTTAGCTTGCCTATCATTAAGTAGAACCCTAAGAGGTTTCCCTGCTGTGTCTTTCCTGCGTCCAGTAAGACGCAGACAAATACGTGACTGCATCTCCTTACGTTGCTCCACTGACTTGTGGATCAGACCTTTAGGTCAAAGGCTCCGGGTGTGACCTAAGAAAACCACCTGCTTCGGTTTTGACAGCCGGTCGATACCACAGCCCACACACGAATCAAGTGACTTTTGTGGCATATATGTGTTCGGTGCCCCTCTGTACCAATATTTATGTTTAGATAAATAAAAACAAAGTTAGGATTTAGCTGGGTTACATTATTGTGAGTTTCTTCGATATCCAGCGCTACTAAGTTCGTCGGTGGTGTTAAAATCCCTAATACTCTGTAATTTTATCACTTTTCCACATTTTAGAGCTCATATACGATTCTGATTAGCTGTTCTTGGTTAATTTCAAGGCCGTGCCGAAAATTGTACTCATTTTATTTCGAAAGGCAACCCAAAAATATATTTCGACTATATCAAGTGAAAGGATGTAATTAACATGCGTTTCGACGTAATATACTGGGACTTGGCCAGGTATAAACATAGAACCTACCGAAAGTGTGTTCTTCAAAATACCCATATTACAAAGTGAAAGTAAATTAGCGCGACAGATAGAAAATAGAGTAATGTTGGTATCCACAATTATGTAGAAGACTAGACGTAGATAACGTGGTCCGAATAGATCAGTCAAAATAACCGGGAGAATCCAAACTAGGACGTCTCCACTCTCCAACATGGTTGAGTAATACTCTACAACTTCGCGGAGTTTAATTAATTCTGATTGTATGACGAAATTTCGGCACGGATTTAGAAGGCTCAACTGGCTTTTGTCCACCTGCCTCACTTATGGCGTGAGCGAGATATTCGTCTGCAAACCGAAGTGCGGGCTAACGGGGTAGCAGTTAACTCCGTCCAAATTTATAAGTGTGAAACATTTTTATTTATTTATTTGAGACACAAATATTGGTACAGAGGGGCACCGAACACATATGTGCCACAAAAGTCACTTGATTCGTGTGTGGGCTGTGGTATCAACCGGCTGTCAAAACCGAAGCAGGTGGTTTTCTTAGGTCACACCCGGAGCCTTTGATCTAAAGGTCTGATCCACAAGTCAGTGGAGCAACGTAAGGAGATGCAGTCACGCGGTAGCCGGTGAAAAACCATTGGTTCATACGCTATTTGTTCTCTCAGGATACTGGAGTCCATGTGCCCCATTGGTTTGGAATCAGGGTTTTCCAACTCCCCTAGTTGGATCCTTCATATCCAAAGACAGTAAGAATAGAGGATATTCATAGGTAACTATTATTCGACCAAAGGTATCTTTGAACTATCGTACGTGTATTTTAGGACCACCATTTTTTCTGGGTCAAGAATAGGGCACTAGGTAAGAACGACCAATCGATGGATGAGGTAGTAAATCTTCATCAACTGACGAGATTTAGGAATGTTACTTGTGTTCAATCACCGCCTACCTCGACAGGTGATGATTTCTGGTGTAGGAGTAGGCTGTCAAAAATAATGGTGGCCAAAACAAAACACTGCACTAGTCCATGAAATCATTGCGAATTGAACCTAGCCATGTTGATAAGTGTAAATTACTTAGTTGAAGTCGGCGTGATTATCGTAATTAGTAGTTTGAAACTTTGAATGGCATGGCTTAAAATCGTTTGCAATGGCGAAGGTGGATCTATTCTTCATCTTCCCCCAAATTCTGAGGTTCTAAATTTCCTATGAATTTTTTTAATTTCAGCAACTTATATTTTCTCCAACTGTATCTCCGATGCTTAATCTCTTCTATTACCACTATTTTTACTACCACGATTCTGGGATTTGGCTCGGCAATTTCATCTGTGATGATGAAGTATGGCAACTTGAACTCATATACATACGTACTAGGTTCTACGTTGTAATGGACTGACCCATGGAGAAATACTATTAATGGACATAACGCCTTCATGATTTAAATAGACCATAAGTATGGGAATGATGTTCACAGACAACAAGGAAAAGTCACGAAACAAATGTTGGAGGACTAAATTGGCTAGCCTGGAAAAGCCTCACCAAATGGATTTGATTGCTCTGATATTTATTAAGAATGCCTCCAAATGCCCTGGTAAGACCGAGAGTGGGGAGAGTCTACTCTCCCTCTCGAAATGCTCTTACATGGCAAGCGAATATATAGCATCTGCCAGGGAAGTCCTACTCACTGCCTTCTCGTGGCGGGGGTGTTGTTTGCGAAAATGAGAGGACGAAAAGCGAATGTCCGGCGCTTTAACCGGGTTGGTGGACACGGAGAGTCCACCTAGGAGAGTTGGAAAACCCTGATTCCAAACCAATGGTGCACATAGGCTCCAGTATCCTGATGGAACGAATGGCGGACGAACCTGTCATTGGTCAACGGCTACCATGGGACTGCATCTCCTCATGATGCTCCACTGCCTTGTGGATCAGACCTTTCGGTCAAAGGCTCGGGGTGTGGCCCCCTAAGAAAACCACCTGCTTCGGTTTGGGCACCCGGGCAGTATCACAGCCCACACACAAATTATTTTGTGTGGCGCATATGTACCTGGTGCCCCTTTGTACAAATATATGTGTAAATAAATAAAGAATGCACGGAGCTTTTATAATGATTTGAGTAAATATATTCCTCTAGCCACTAAATTATCAATCACAAAAAACATACTTAGTGCACAAACTAAACGATAGAATTCTTGACTTACACTGTCATTTAAAATAAAGCCTGCAACGTATGTGAGAGCCACCATTAGGTAACAAGCTGACAAGAATATTATCGGTCTCTCGGGGTACTGAAAACGAGGCATATCAATGAGGAAGGTGAGAACTGTAAATGACGTCGATGCTGCACACAAGAAACTCCAGAGACCGATCCATAAGCGAGAAAACTTCCTGGAAGAAGAATCTCCGAAGAGGAAATCACCGCAAGGAATTCCACAGTCCTGAATTATTTGATTCCTGCCCATTCTTACGCGGAATTCGAAACTTGGAGGAACCTAAGACATTAGTACATATTAAGAAATCCTGTACAACCCACTTTCATATGAACAGGGCACACGAAGGAAGGTTCCTTAGAAAGCCGTTTTTCTGTCTTATTTTCAGCTATACACAACGAATCTTCTGGGAAACGATCACAATTCATTATTTTTGGCCACTAGGGATAAATAAGAAACGAATAAGAACCACCTCAAAATGAAAACCCCGCATAAGTGGTTCACAGTCCTTACGGTTTTGTTCACACAAAGATCGACAAGGTGGTAATGGTTTTTTCATCCCAGTGCAGACAGGGAAAAATAAGGAGCATAAAAACAACTTTAAGGAGGAACTGCAAGTAGTTCGAACTAATGGTGTATATTGACCGATTTCCTGGGCGGCATCGTCTTGAGTAGCATGCCCCATATCATTTGGAAATATAGTGATGTTATATGGTAGATCCTGACAAGCCTTTATACGTATAGGTTCACATTTAGGTGTTTCAGCATATGGATCTTCCAAACCCCGCTGTATGTAGCAGTTAGAGTGAGAAAAAATATGTACGACGATGAAGAGAGCCCTTAAACACATTAGCATTTGGACCCTCAATGGCGCCTAAATATTTATTTGACTGACGCTCCATGGGTATAGTTATTGACTCCAAAAAACACAAAGCAAAGAAGTCTGAAGTGAGAAGCTATCCACATACTATAGGCCAATAAATTATTTGCAGAAACTTGAAATAGCGGCGGCCGTTCCTGATATTTAACAAAATATTCCTGAAACCGAGCCAGTAACGGTTACACAGCTAACACGAACCAATGCTACCGAGCTCCGAAATCATCCAAGACTCCTTCGTGCAGCGTCCACTGTTACTGATGACATGAAGAGTATTCTGCTGGCCAGTCAATTGATGAAATCAGGAAGGGATGTGAACATACTGGTTGATTTATTATATCCTCGGCGCATTCTCATCAGGAGCATCCAAAAGGATTCTCACGAGACGTTCTTTCACCGAAGAAATGTCACTGTTCAAGATATTCTAAAAATCACGGACACTGTTGATTTCGTCTACGGTATTCGAGCTTTGAAATTCCCCAGGCGATCCTTGAAGATTAAGAGTATATTGATCCAATAAACGGTACGATTAACTATAAATGACGGTGATCCTGAACCTCACCTAATTAAGATAGCCTTCTCCTCCGAAATGGCCTCTTTAACTCTCAGAGATTTTCTAGTCGATAGACACGGGTTACCAACTGGAATCCATATACAACCGGACAACTCTTATGGTCAAAGGATTAAGCACTAAAGCAAATTAAAACTGACATTTCCACTTGTGAACCAGGAGCTGGCAGCATGTTTTTGTTTCGCAAGGACATAAAGAGGAATAGGGGTGGAGCAGCCCTGTACCCACGATCTTGCTTGGTAGCTCATCAAGCGAACACTCAAGATTTCATTATGATGAATCTGTAGTGACCTGCCTTTCTCGACGAGAACGCGATTGGTATAATGGAAACAATTATTATTATAACCAATTGTACCAGTGATTGTTTAACTGTACTCGTTGTTGTTTAACTGTATAAAAATCATTTTTCGTTCGGTCGTCCGCCTTGTTCGCTCGGACTTTCTTACGCTCTGCCCTTACTGCCTGTACTCGTTGGCATGTCTCGGTATTCTTTCGATTCCACGAGATCGCCAATAAATACACTTTATCTGGACTAATTGCAGCCTTCCGGTTTACGAGCTATCAAATGAACCAAGTCGATTTGAAGCGCGTAATCTTACTGTAGTGGTGACCATAGTCTCGGTAGTCTGTGGACGAGTACTTGGTTTCTAGGCCTCTCTACAGGGCGATTCACTAACATCCTCTGAGAAACTATTCCAGATAGTGCCGATATTTGATGAAGAATGTGGCCCAACCTGGATATTGTCTCTGTGATATTCACTTGGTCGTGGATTGCAGAGTGAAGTGTGATGGCGAGGTTCGAGTAGAACGTCTTATTTAAATGATACAAACATTTAATGGGTTGGTCACTTAATAGTACGGCTCGTTTTGTATAACACCTCTGTGCTTGTTTCAAGAGGTTCCTATTACTAGGTGGTGGATAGAGGGTGTAGTAATGTCGTAGGCTTCAAGGTGTGAGTGGATGTGGGTTACGGACATTTCCAAAGAAGGCTAAGGAGCCTGGTCGCCTGTAGACAAACTGAAAAGCGTTGTGGGGTTTATCTTCATTTCTCTGGTAGTCGTCACTGTGGTCCAAGCTTTCTGTTGGCAACAAACCCAGATCAAGTTCTCTCACAGTTGTGGAGAAGCGGTAAAGGCTGAGAACGTAGTAACGCTTTTGCGCTTTTGTGAACCGAAATAACACCCGTTGTTGTTTCTTGATATCAAATGATAAACTGTACTTCTCACTCCTTGTGAATCGACCTATCATCTCAAGATTTTCCACGGTTCAAAATAAGAAATGAGAAACTGAGGTTTGCTGGAAAATCATTACTGAATAATGGGAACAGTGAAAGGTCTCGTGGGTCGCATCGGGAAACACGTTCGGTCCTGAAGGTAGCGAATACCATTCGCACAACTTTGGTCAACATAATAGTGTGCTAAAACACCATACGCTTAAAGGAAGTTAAGGAGCAGTTGATGAACGAGTAATTTCTGATTCTAACTCTGCCCACATGTCCCATACTGATGACGTGTTGTCATCTCACGACTTTATCAAAGCCGTATTGTGATATGCAATTCACTGAATAACCCACCGCAGTGAAGACTGTATCTTCTGTAACAATTTCATCTTGCCCGTAAACTGGCATACCTCATGTAACAGGCTATTATTTAAGAATAAATTATTACTGTTTTCATCTCACAGGAGTTTATAAGCTCCTTCATCTAGTCATCTACCAAACATGTTGACACTTTGTGAAAGTACTAGAAACAACGTACAGACATCTAGCAGCTGAAATAATTGGAATGAATACTGGTTGGCATCTAAAAGTCATTTTTGTCTTTACAAGCACCTGATAATTTACCCTGAAGTTTCTTTTCTGATGAAGACAACCAATCTGAAGCTTCTTCGATGTCAATTGGCTTACGGAGGTGCTATTTCCTTGCATTAGCGCCTAAAGAATGCATTTTGACGGGAACGTATTTCCATTGCTTCCATCTTCCAGTTTTTCTCAATTGCATATCCAAATTATTGATCTGAAAAATAACCAGATTAAGGGCAAAATGCATCGTGCAAAGTTTAAGCATGTGAAATTAGGATTGTCAAACAATATAAAGTAAAATTATTTTTGATGATGTGACTCGTATGGAATGGTAACTTGAACCAGCTTATATGTTGAGTGAAAATCTTAAGATCCATAATAAAAATAAAAATGGGTCAGATAGGTGTGAGAAATAATAGTGTGTAGAGGCTAATTTCTCTTTATCTGACTTCAATAAATATTAACTCGTTAACTGAGTATTTATCGCAGGCTCGATATCCTAGTAGAATTATGGATTTACTCGAGATTATTCAGAAGTTCGAAACCAGTTATGGAGACAGTTTATTGTTAAAGATTGATAAAATCTGCAGGCGTGCAGAGGACAAGCACACAGAGAAACGAGTGTGAGTGTGTTAAAAATCTATATATATTTATGTTAATTGATTGTGGATAAATTATTAATTATCTGTGTTACAACCAACAGGACTCAATGCTTCCTTGTTTTTCTATCACGAAACATTTAGATTTCCTTTAAATAACTTTGAAAGGACCTTCAAAGATAGAGCTAAGCAGTGCTTTTATTTTGTCACACCTTATCCACGTGTCTGTGCAATTGCTTAGATACTTAGGTATATATATATATATATGGTTCCGTAGTTGGTTTACTTAACTTTCTAAATCAAGCTTTTTATTGTCAGTATAAGGGTTATTAAACTCGTCCAGTAGTCTGAGAGGCGTCACGAAAAATAGTTTCAATGCTGAACACTGTTTGTCAATGTTATAATTGTATTTTTTGCTATATAAACGACCCAGCTATTCCTATTGCTTAGTATTCTTATACGATGACACTCGACAAGACCCCAAAATCAGAACACATTGAACAGGAATGAAATTGTATTCAAAATAATAATGATAAGTGAACAGCAATCACTAGTTTAAATAACGTTCATATATTTATAGTATATACATAAGAAGCTTATAGATTTTTCTGCAATAATATGCCCTGGCTGATCGGTTTAGAATTAGCCAATCAGCGCGCAGCAACGCGCGAGCTACGAAGAGGTCGTTACTTTTTGGCCGTGGTCTGCATTGTTTCTTTTTTCTAGGATTCTCACTGAACTGGATGGATTATCTTTCCTTGGAATTACGGAAGACAACTCAATTCTGATCTGTTCACGTTTAAGCTGCAAATTTTATGCTATACGATAAGATCTTAATTTTAACTTATTGATAGTATATATGATCATATTCATACAATAACTCATAATCAAATAATTGTATATTCATTTTGGCTATACGATATAACCTTCCTCTGTCATTCCAAAAACCGTATATAATCATATTCGGCGAGGAATATAATTTCATATTTGTATTCTATTCATTATATCGTGTTTGTATGCTACAACACACGTACTTTATGTATTTACAGGATCTATTCAGATCTCTACCCAATATCTAGAAATATATATAATTGTGTATGACAAAGCACTGTACTCATTATTCCACATACTTTCATTAAAATCGTATTTGGATAATATAACTCACTTAAATTCTGGGATCACCTGTCCAATTCGGTGAGTCTGTCATACGTTTATTTATTTATTTTTTTTTATGACAGTATATTTTGTCACCACTAATACCTTCCTGCTATTCTTATCCATTGTTTTTCTACACTTTCACCGATCCTCTCGATACATCCACCCTTGTGTTAAGCATAGGTTTTGATTAGACTTCAGTCCTCGACATTGATTTTTTCTTTCTTTCATCTCTATTTCCAATATTTTGTTCAATCCGCCTGCTATACGTCACTTTTTTATCATGCAACAAAAGAAAATAAAGGCCCCTGCTTGTAGGCGTCCAGCCAAACGTAGGAAAACTACGCAATCTAAAATTGCTACTGACAGTTTCAATGAGACAAGCTACTCTGTTCATCCGGAAGCAGACAAGCTTTTACCAGTTGTTTCCATTCCAGACGTGTTGAAGACTCTGTTGGTAAATAATGATGATAATCGCAACTGCAACCATACGAATGATATAAAAAGGCTGCAAGTTGACATGAACATTCTCAATCCGCTCAAGTATCTCATCAACCCTAATCTCACAGAGACTCCAGATCAAATGAATGACATCAATAACTTCTTAGATCGTGTTGCATCAGAGGTATTTGAAAGAGTTAGACGATCTAGCAATGCAATTGTGTTTAATATACCGGACTCTTATGCCCTTAAAAATATCAAAACTAGTCTGCTCAGAGCCAGCAATATGACACACGTACCATGTGTATGCTCAAGATTAAAAAGAAGTCACCCTGATATGCACCCACCGATCTTGTTCAAATTCAACTCATCTGTAGACGCTGGTGAGTTTTTAAATTCCTCTAATTCATTGAAACAGAATTTCAAAGATATTAAGATTCTACCAGATAGAACACCATGCCAACGAAAAGCAGGCCGAGACAACCACAGACTACCAGCATCAAACACCCAAGCGTATCATAATCCTAAAGGTCATAAAATTAAGTCCGATCTTAAGCAGACATCTAACTTTACGAATATGCAACCACCGGAAAACTCTCCTGAATCTCCTAATGTTCAAAGCCCAAAAGAAAGTAGTCCCAATGCAGGTGATGCCCATCCTTTTAAGAATGTTGACTTAGATTCTACCCTAAGTAGTTGTACTGATTTCGAATGGGATAACACAGTCCAAGTCGCTGTTAGTGCAAAAACCAGTTTTAGTGACTGTGCAACGGATAACTGGAAAACTGGTCATAAAATTTATCTGCCTGACCACACTCTTAACGTCGATATACTCGAGCCTAGCAAACCATCTCAAGCATCTTTAACAACACACGACCCCCCTCAAATTACGAAGGAGCCAAAATCAACCACAAACCTTGGAAATAAGAGTTTAGAACATGTTCCCTATACGTCAGGTATAAATAGCAATGTAAATTGTAAACGGCCACTTGGTCGCACACATAGACCTGATAGTCTTCTTGGTCCGGCTCCCAATGTTAATACTATTCCTTTACCAAATGTTATATCCAATAACAGTGAGAAGACTTTTTTTGTACTTCCGCCGGCTTTTCTGCCGGCAACAATACACATACTTCAAATGATGACAAAGTTGTTGAATCTATTTCCGATCGCAACACAACTCTCACCTTAGCCAATCCTACCAGTATTCATGTAAATACCGATTGTGATTTATACTCCAACCTGATTCACCATGGTAAATCTCAATTTCTTATTCTTTCGTTCAATTCCCGCTCTCTGCCCAATAAAATTACTCACCTCAAAACCCTTTTATTACTTGTAAATCCAACTATCGTTCTTATTACGGAAACGTGGTGCAATTCATCTGTATCCGATCACTCCCTGCATATAGATAACTATGTTTTCTTTAGAACCGACAGATGTAATGGATTAGGGGGCGGTACACTTATCTATGTCCGTTCGGATATTCAGGCCTGCAAATTTGAGGATAAATCCCTTAATGCTATAGATGACTCCACCTGGGTGACTGTAAACTGTGGATCTCGGAATTATCTACTGGTGGGATGCATATACAGACCACCACATGCAGATTCTATGTTTGACAGATTACTAACAAACATCTTTTCCATTGCTTCACACCAACCGCATACTTTTGAAATCATCGGAGGTGATTTTAATCTGCCAAACATCACATGGGATTCGACTCCGGTTTCAGGCCGACATGACAAATTAGTTGAAACGCTAGAACTTTATGGATGGGTCCAACAGGTTCGACAACCGACTAGAAGGAATAATATACTTGATTTACTATTTACAATCAACATAGATTCTATCTCAGTGCATATCGGTCAGGAATTTTTTAAGAGTGATCACAGAGTAATATTGTGTATCATTCATTCTTTCGATGCCATACAATTGAACTCTAAAGCTGGAATGATGTACAAGAGTAGACATTTTGATCAACAAACCTGGAAACGGACTGAAAGTCTTATTCGTTGTTTGCCATGGGAAACTTATTTCACCACAAATAATATTGACATTGCGATCTCTGATCTATACCACAACTTGATACACTGCCTTGACTGCACTGCTCCAATTATTAGCCATGTGGCTTATAACGCCAATAGGGGCCATAATAATTTTAAAACTTTTAAAAGAAAACTGAGGAAATTAAAACACCGTTACCACAAGCATAATAACTTGTATACACTACAGAGTATACTTAAGTTAATTGACAAGAGTGCTTCATCTAAACGCAAGTATTTTATAAATATAGAAAATAAAGCCCTAGGTAATAAGAACCCAGAATTATCATTACTTCGGCTTTTTAAATCGCGTGTGAAGTCAAATTCTCTTGGCATGACCAAATTCTTCATAGTTAACGGAAGAATTATTGATGACCCCGATATTATTTGCGAAGAATTCAGTCAGTATTTCTCGCAGTGCTATAACGCTAGAACTGAAAGCTGTATCAATACATTTCCAATGCTGACGTGCAGACACCTGTCGAAAATTGATTTTGTACCCTCCAACATCAAGCAGGCCATAACTGCCTTGAAAAAGTCCTATGACGGTGGACCTGACGGGATTCCCTCATCATTTGTGAAATACGGTAGTAGAGAATTCCCATTATTTTGTCTAAAACTTTTCAACCTATCTATGGAATATGGGGCCTATCCATCTGCATGGAAAACATCTCTTATCACTCCCAGATTCAAAACCGGATCGCGCAGTGATATTGCTAACTACAGACCAATTAATTTGACATCCGTGCTGTCAAGAACTATGGAAAAAATAGTCCACAAACAGTTATTATCATTTTTGCTTTCGGCTAATCTGATCAGCCCATCCCAACACGGGTTTATGACCAAACGCTCCTGCTTCACATCGCATCTGGAATTTTTTGATCAAATTACCCAGAGAAGAGATGTTGGTCAGTCTGTGATAATTTTGTACTTCGACTTTAGTAAGGCCTTCGACAGCGTCCCACACAAGCTTCTTCTTCTAAAACTCTCTTCATATGGAATACGGAATCCCCTTTTATCTTGGCTCAAGTCATTTTTAGAAGAACGTAGCCAAATTGTCTGCTTTGGATCCTGCTACTCCAAACCTGTGAATGTAACCAGTGGGGTTATACAAGGAAGTGTAATTGGTCCATTACTATTTCTCCTTTTTATCAACGACGTTTGTTCCCTCTTTCAATATGGTAAACCTTTTCTTTTTGCCGATGATCTAAAAGTGGTTTATTCATTCTCATCTCCCACAGAAGAAAGCTATATTTCAACAGTAATCCAAGAAGAAATAAACAGGTTGTACGAATGGACTATTTCGTGGAATTTGCCACTTAATGTTGACAAAAGTGGATTTATTAACATTGGCCGTTGCCTTAACTTAAATCTGGCTATACACAAATATACACTGAAACCTCTCAACACTGTTCGTGACTTGGGTTTAAGATACAGCGACAGTTTGAACTTTTCGGAACACATTGCATCTCAAGTATCCAAAGCTAGAAAGCTCATCGGATTCATAATGATTAATTTCAATAATACCGAATCGAGATTATTATTATACAGAAAATGTATCTTACCAATTCTTGAATATGGTATCTTAGTTTACAGTAACTGCAGGCATAATGACCTGATTAAAATTGAAGGTGTTCAAAGAAGGTTCACCAAAGCTGTTTTGGGGTATTCTGACAACAAAGACTATCACCAAAGATGTCAACAACTCAAACTAGAACCTCTCTGGATCAGGCGTATCAAACTAAACCTTATTTTTCTCTACCGGCTTCTTAACGGTATTTCTTACTCTTCGCTATCTACCCCATCATACTCTATGATACCGTCCCACAATCTACGCAATAAGGAAAATATTATAGCGATTCCAAAAACCCAAACAAATTTACGCCAGAATTTTTTCGTTATTCGCTACTCAACCATCTGGAATAGACTACCAATGAACCTCCGATGCAGTGAAACTATAATCCGGTTCCGAAGTCTTCTTGATGACTTTCTTTCCGAAAGTGGATTGTGTCACCTTTTGAATATTAACGTGCTTAACAACGATTTATACAAAAATGGTCCGTCATCTATCTAACTGACTGAAAAGCAAAGTAAAACCTTTGAAACTTTTCACGTCTATTTCACTTTATTTTATATTTATCTGAATATACAAAGTCTGCTTATATTTGCATTTATAATTATTACTGTTATTAATATCATTATTGGTCATTCGACACATTAGATATTCTTTTCATCTCTTCTTGTCCTTGTAAACATATTTTATCCAAAGTCTACAATGAAAAACAAAAAACCCCTATGTTCCACTTAAATAATTTTTTTTTTTTTCCAAAATATTCACAACATATAACGTATAAAAATTTATATTTCATTATTCTTTGCAATCAATTATGACTATGATAGCATCATTCTAAATTATTATTATTGCACTAATGTTTATACAACAACCCGGTTTCACTCTGTATACTGTTACATAAATCTACACGTATTTATCCGTAAGGGTTTATTATTGTTGTTATTATTATTATTATTACTTTAAAATTATTCGTTTATCTCAAAAGTCTATATCCATTACACTATTATGATCATTGTTGAACCTTTTCACTATGTGTTCATTTCTTTTCTCTCTCTCGCTCTCTTTTTTCCTTCTAAATAAATATTATTCTTAAGATTAAGAAGCTTTGGATTGAGACAATAACTTGTGTTACATTGAATTCAACTTATCACACTCGTTTTATCTTCACTATGTATATACACCTCATAAATATTGATTATCTTTTGCACTTAATTGAGACTTTCATAGCATCACCCAAAACTATGACTGTGCTTGCACGAACACTTATTCTAACGTCATATCTTACCGCAATAATAAGTTATTTACTTATTAATTTATTCTGTTTTATTTCATTTTTATTACTCGTTTTTGCTATACATACATAGTTGTTTATTCTTGTTCTGCGTTAAGATATTTGCGTCTCCCGCGTCTCCTTTATTTCTATTTCCTTAGTTTCTTCCTTTCCTCCTTCAAAATCAATTCAAAATTCTTGCTAATTACACAGAACCTCATTTATTATTACTATTCTATTATTAATATTTTATTTTCCTTTTCCTTCCTTTCTCAAACGTGGCATATGTATTGTTAACATTACTGAAAATTGTGTATTATTGCATTTTTGAAGAAACCCGAAATGGTTTCTTCACAGCACTTATGTACCCATAAAGTGTTTGTGAATAATAATAATAATAATAATAACACTATCATGCATAAAACATGCTTTAATCCAATTTATATCCCACTAACACCTCCCCCTTGAGCAGATTCGTAGGATCTGGTGTTAGGGTCCAACTGCAACCGAGTGACTGGCCTGCGCTTTCGATCTGTCCATCGTCTAGGCAATAAGGAAGTTGTGTCACTCTTTGCTTGCACAGAAACTGACTTGTCTGTTCCAGGCGTTTTTATTTCAAAGGTGTCTAGCAGAACATCAAGAGGTAATCTATGCTGCGTTTCGTTGTTGGAGATCGAGGTTGATTTCAGTTGGTTAGCATGACGCACCCAGATTTCTGAACCAACGGACACCTCGTAAACCACATTTCCTTTCTTTCTCACGATCCGACAAGCTATCCATGTAGGATGTTTTCCTCGATAGTCCATAGCAAGTACCTTTTGACCCACACTGAACAATCGTTTTTTTTGCCCCATGATGACTATTGTACTGTTTCTCCATCATCACGTTTCGTTGCGGCTTAAGAGCTGGAGTCGGACGAATGCTGTCAAAATGTGTGCGTATTTTTCTGCCAAGTAACGCTTTCGCTGGGGAGACTCCATTTGTTGTCTGAGGGTTCGGTGTCGAGCGGTGCATAAACAAGAACCTCTCTAAGATCTCTTTTGTGTTCCCCTCCCCTCTTGATTTTTTTTAGAGCATTTTTGAACGTACCAACAAAACGTTCTACCTGGCCATTCGATTGCGGATGGAATGGAAGTGTTCTGGTGTGCCTGATTCCGTTCTGCTGACAAAATGCTGAAAAGTCTTTTCTGACTTCATTTGACGACACTGGAGTGTTTTGAATTGCTGCTGGTACTACACTCCGTATTTCTGGAACCTTTTTACTTGTCTTTTTTGCATATGAAGTGGTGTCTAATGATGGACACGACATGTTACAAACGCTGTTGATGGGTATATCCATTAATCCAAGCTTTTCTAACATATCTAGACCAAGTAGATCAAGGTTCGGTCATTCTGTAAGATAGCATACTCCTTTACAGCTATTTCCATTGAAGGAAAATTCACATAGTAATTCACCAACTAGTTTCAGTACACCTCCAGATACGTTTTTAGCCGTTTTCTTGGATGGCTTCATTGGCGGTTTCCCAAGCAGGTTAAACGTTTCTCTAGACACTAGGGTGATATAGGATGCTGTGTCAATTTGGAGACGAACCGCTATACCATTAATCTGGATCGTAACATACTTTCTCCGAATGTCATAGTCCGTTTGAAAGGCTGCTACCAGAGAAAGTGATTTAGATTCGGCTGACTTCATGTGTCGAGGACGTTTGTGCTTCGGCTTAGGCTGGGACGTACGATTTGGAGGACAATGATCTTCTTTATGCCCACGTTTGTTACACATCTGACATTTATGTTTCTTGAATGGGCAGAATCGTACATAATGCCAATCACCACATAACCAACATGCAGTCGTTGGTTTGCTACCACTTGTTTTCGGTTTCTGACTTTTTAACCTAGTCATAGCATTTACACTACTGCAGGTTAAATTAGAATTTACCTGTTCAATTAACTGATTGTCGTGTCTGATGTTTTGTAGTCGTTTACACTCATCTGTCAATGTCTTGAGTGTGACGTTTGGGTCTTCATCCAAACGAGTCAGAAGTCTGGTTCTAATTTCAGCATCTTGTGGTGACTGCAGAGCTTTGATGAATACAAGGCATTTAAATTGATCTTCTGTCAACGAGCGTTACTTGAACCGTTCACACTCTCTGTTGACGAGGTCTGCTAGAGCGCCATATTCATCAGATTCTCGCTTCACCAAATTCAGACACTGATATCGAATACTAAACAATGAGTAAGATTCGCCGAATATCTCTGACAACTGCGTTACTGTCTCCTCGAAACTGAACTCTCGATGTAACTTAGGCAATATATGATCAGCATAACGTGCATGCTCATTGCTTCTCAACTTACACATCAACAACCGAGTCTTCCATGCGTCATCTTGTTGACAGAATTCTATTCTAAATGTATCTTCCCAACGCTTGAACCGCGTGAGAAAGGTATTTCCACTTTCGGGATCATATATGAATTCTGGGATGCTGCTAGCAACTGCATCACAAGAAGTACTTGAAACAGCATGTGAACTCGAGTTTTGGATGCCAAACTGTTGCATCAGAGTCTCCAACAACCGCATTTGAACATCAAGTTGTGCTTGCTGATGTTGTAATATTCGGCTGAGCTGGTCATCTGATATAGGCATTTTGAATGAATTTTCCCTTTTCCTCGTCGCCACTGTTGTAATTGTAATTTTTGCTATATAAACGACCCAGCTATTCCTATTGCTTAGTATTCTTATACGATGACACTCGACAAGACCCCAAAATCAGAACACATTGAACAGGAATGAAATTGTATTCAAAATAATAATGATAAGTGAACAGCAATCACTAGTTTAAATAACGTTCATATATTTATAGTATATACATAAGAAGCTTATAGATTTTTCTGCAATAATATGCCCGGGCTGATCGGTTTAGAATTAGCCAATCAGCGCGCAGCGACACCATCATGCATAAAACATGCTTTAATCCAATTTATATCCCACTAACAGTCAGTTTTGAAAGCCATTCGTATTCCTAACATAACTAATGGTAGGAATTCTGTCCACTTACAGGGGCTTGAGTGTGCCATTAGAACAGTCATTATTTGACGGTGGAAGCGTTCTACCATCCCATTAGCGTGACGGTGATATACAGTGCAACGTATTCCACTGGGATCTATAAGTTTAGCTAAGTCGTTAAATAGTTCAGATTCAAAATGTGCTCCTCTATCCATGGTTATTGTTACAGGTGTACCGAAAATGATCGCCCAGTTCTGTACGAAAATCTTGGCCATTGTCTTGGCTGTGATGTCCGTTATCGGTATGGCTATAGGCAATACCGTGAACCGACGTATATATGTAAGCAGATAATTAAAACCATTCTATTTACAAATGAGCGAGACATGCATCTGGTTGTGAGAAAACGCCGATGGGTGAATTTGTGTGACGATTAACTTTTGACTGTTTACACGCCAAACACTCTCTAATCCATCTGTGTACACCGTTTTGTAGATTTGGCCATATATATATGGTATTGACTAGTTTAATCGAAGCTTTTGCACCAGAACGAGACAAGGAATTGCAGTTATTAAATATTATTCTTTGCATAATTTTGGGGACGAAAAATCGCGGCATCGCCTTGGTCGTGTCACAGTTAATCAGAATGCTTTTAATAATTGATGGTGACTGCTTTACCTTGAGACTGGAGTTCTTTGCTGTGAGTAGGATTTGTAATCCTGGATCCTCTTCCTGTTTGTCTCTCAACGCCCCAAAAGTTACTGCAGACCGTTGTATCACGTTCATTTCTAGTCGAGATAATGCATCTGTCACCTGCTTTACTGACCTCTGACTTATCGGAAAACACTTGTGAACTGTGATACATAGTCAAGGTGTCGAAATTCTCGACGTCAGTATTTATCGGCCATCACTTTCAGTACATTGGTCAATGGTTTGTGATCAGTGAAAACTATGGAGTCCCAGCCCTCCAACATGTGTCGGAAAAGCTCAACTATTAGGTAGACTGCAAGAACTTTTCATCCGAAGATATAATAGCTTGTCACTGCTGGAGTGAGTCTCTTCGGGGAAAAAGCGATTGGTTTCCGGGTGTTTTTAACCAGTTGGTTGAGGGTGTCGCCTACTGCCTGTCCGAAGCATCCACCATCAAAGCAATTAGGGAGAAGAAGTTCGGATACATCAACATAGATGCTTAAGTCAGTTTATCTTTTAGCTATTTAAGAGACTCAACAACCTCAGAAGTTAGCTTGAATTCTTTTGGTTTTCCTTTAAGTGAATCTCTCGAAAGTTGCATTAATTGTGCACAACTGGGTATGAACCTTCGATAAAAGTTAATTAGACCTAAAATACTTCAACGTTGTGTTAGAGAACTAGGTATGGAGTATTGTCTGATGGTGTCCACTTCTTCTTTCATTGATGTAACCCTTCTGGAATTATCGTGTGTCCGAGGAATCCTAGAGTTAGAACACCGAAAAAATACTTGCAGTGATTTATGTTCATTCCATTTTCATTCAACCGTTTTAATACTGCTCTAACATGCCGATGGTGTGACTGTAAATCCAGACTTGTAATTAATAAATAGTCTAGCGCGCGCTTTACGAACGGGAAGTTTAGTCCTGACGTGATATACATTTCTCAAACTTTTGTCTGTGTTCTTACGCATCAAAAGTACCATTTCCGATCTAAAGAATCTATTCTGATCTATACGTTCGGTAGATTACTTCTTTTTTTGTGTTTCACTCAACTTAATAGTTAACTGTGGTTTTGCCTCAGCTCACTATCGGTTTTTTAATAATTTTCACGTAAAGACTAGCTTTAGCTTATCGTTAACTGTTTTTATACATTTTTGCCAGTTTTTGTTTACTGTGTGTTTTTTTAACGGTCCCAAATTTACTGCTTGTATTTTTAAGACAGTCTAAATCACTAGCCATGAAAAATTCATGCGAAAGACCTGGTTGCCGTTTTGCTGTTACATCTGGCATGCAATGAGACAGCTGCAAAGGTTGGTTCCACGAAGCATGTACAGATCTAACAGCAGCAGCCTATAGCGGACTCAGCAAGTCTGATCGTAGGTGGGTATGTGTTACCTGCAACACTGATACCATAGTTATGTTGGGTACCATCATTACTTTACTAACAGGTCTGAGAGATAAGTTGTCTAAGAATTTGGCAAATGATAGTATCATGACGGGTAACAAAACTGGAACGCATAGGGCAAACAAGAAAAAGGATATTGACAGGTCGGTTATCGACGGTGCTGTTAACAGCACGAGTGATGATGTGCTGAAACTCAGCACCATCTTAACATCGACTGACATCGACTCCCTCAGTAAACTTGGGTCCCCCAGGGAAGAGTCCTTGAATGAGACAGTGGTTCCTAAAAATCCTGTAGGTGGATGGACTCACGTTAACAGAAGTAAAACGT